TCCATGCACAAGGAGCGAGAAATACATAGTGAAGGAAGGTCTGGGAGATATTTCTGTGTAAAATCTAGCAAATGTTTTCCCCTACATTCATTAGCCAGCACCGAAGACAAATACAATCAGTAAATCATAGCCCTAGCAGGGTGGGAGAGGTAAAAAGAGGAAGGCGCCATGCAAAAACAGCCAGTAAATCTGAGTGAACTGCATGGGAAGGAAGGAAGGAAGGAAGGAAGGAAGGAAGGAAGGAAGGAAGGAAGGAAGGAAGGAAGGAAGGAAGGAAGGAAGGAAGGAAGGAAGGAAGGAAGGAAGGAAGGAAGGAAGGAAGGAAGGAAGGAAGGAAGGAAGGAAGGAAGGAAGGACGGACTTTGGTCAGGTTTTCTGCTGGCTAAACTCAGAAACTGCCGTCAAAAGCCACTTAGGAAATTCAACTATACGCCCCATTGAAATGAACAATAACTGCACAGAAGCATTGCAAATGATTAGACACAGTTCCAATTCCTTGCACAAAATCTGGATTTCTGGAATGCCTCCTGCAGATTGAGCCTATGTCCCAGCATCCTCACATCATGCTGCATCACAGAAAAGCTGACGCACACACCACCCGGCCAAAAAGACAAATGTTCCCCGACTCCCAGCCACAGGGCAACATTTTTTTGCAATGCCTCGTAGTGCGTATTTTTGCTTTTTTTTAAAAAAAAGGGGACCATCACAATACAAGGTGAAGAAAAGGTCACAATCATCATGAAACAGTGCTTCTATTCAGAAAGGGCTGCCAAAATGTAAGGATTTGAATACAGGGAGAAAGGAGGTCAGGAAGCATGAGCAAAGACTGGACCTCTATTGGGAATTTATAGACTTTCAATGGCTGTCTAAGGAAAGGCTCCAGAAAGTCTTGGGGGGCTGAAGTGGGAGGAAGAATGTGATATTGCTTTATTACCCATTTCCCCGAAAGGTCTTAGATGGAGTTTGCCTGGAAATATGCCCCGCTGCCTTCAATTGAGTCTACTCCATAGAAGTTACCCAACAGCCTTTACTGTTGGTAGGATGACAGACGGAAAGCCAGTCTCCGTAGGAAATCAGAGATGGGATTTATTCTTCTTTGGGCTGGAAAACACATAACGGACACTGATGTTTCCCACATTCCCAGAATGTGATGAATGACTTAGATGTGTTTTAGGGTCTTATGCTTCCTATTGGGCTCAGGTTCAATATTTGGGTGGATAGTATTCCAGGCGGTGATGATGTGCTCCAGACACCTATTCCCAGGGGATGCTGGTGTCTGAGTAAAGGCCCACCCGCTTTCCTCCCATTTTGCCCACTGTTTTCCCCATTGCCCTGTCGGAGTCCTGCTTTCCACATCCTGCAGCTAAATCCTGCCATGCCCTGCTTAATCTGAGTGCAAACCAACTTCTCCAATACACGCCTACTCTTATTCCCTCTGCTTGGCATTGGCCATGTCTGCCATCAAGACAACATGTTGGTAAACCGACACGAAAAGCATGACCTACTCTTTGCATATGGCAAAAAGTTCTGGCCTCATGGAACTTGGATCTGTTTGACTCACAGGGTGCCCTACTGGTTGCTATGATGACACGACGGAAAGGGAGTACGGCGTGAACGACCACAACCCCCTTGATGCCCAGTGGCCAGCATCAGAATGAAGGGAACTGGGTGTGTGTTACAGAGCATGCGACACACATAAGGGTTGTGGGGTTGCGGTGGCCACTGTCGTGGTTTGACCTGCTGAGTCCCTTAACACACTAACATGGGCATTGCAGAGGTTGTAATGAGGTGCATCAAGTTGAAAGACCAAAGAAAGAGGAAGGGGAAGAGCAGACTAGCGTAGAAGAGACATGGGATAAGTTGCTGTAGAAACAACAAATTAAAGAAATTAACACAGGGCTGAAAGCAGCAGAACAGCCACCATCTGTTTTCCACCGTCTTGCTCAGTGGCTTAGGTATCTGGTGGCCAAGGTTGGGACTTCTATTTCCAACTGTGCCTCTAGAGAGAAGTGCCAGCCTGCGTGGCCTTGGGCAGGGTGGCCCCAGAAGAAGATGAAAAGGGTCCCCCTAAGTCAAAACTGACTTGGCACCACACAATTATTAGAAGTACACAGTGTGGTGTAGTGGATAGGGTGACAGACAAGGACTCAGGAGACCTGGGTTTGATTCTCTGCTCAGTCCTGGAAGCTCACTTGGGGAGTGGAACTGGTCAAACCACTCCTTAAATGCCTCACTTACCTTGAAAGCCTTATTAGGGTCACTAATTAGGGTCCTGATTTTCCCTTCTTTCCTTCTCCTAGTGTCTCTTCCATCTTGCCTAAAGTTTTCCCCTTATTTTAAAATTGTTTCTAATTATATTGTAATATTTTTGCTGTATTCTCTGCTCAGTCCTGGAAGCTCACTGGGGGAGTGGAACTGGTCAAACCACTCCTTAAATGCCTCACTTACCTTGATAGCCTTATTAGGGTCACTATAAATCAGTTCTGACTTGATGGTGCAAAATGACAACATGTCCTTTGGAGCTTAGCACAGATATCTAGGGACAATTTTCTACACCAGTGGTTCCCATCCTTGGGTCACTCCGGTGTTCTTGGACTGCCACTCCCAGAAGCCTCCATCACTCGCTGTGCTGGTCAGGATTTCTAGGAATTGTAGTCCAGGAACACCTGATTTACCCAAGGCTGGGAAACACTGTTCTGCACTAGGATTTCTAGGAAATGTAGTCCAGGAACACCGGATTTACCCAAGGCTGGGAAACACTGTTCTGCACCATGTGTATCCATTATAGGCATGGGTCCCTCCATGCAGTCTTGGTAAATTATTTAACCAGCTTCTTTTTCCATTATGGTGGAAAAACACTACTGCTTTGTTCTTGCTGTTGTTGTTCACAGAACTTTAAAAACTTTTTAAAGGGATCTTGGGACTACAACTCCCAGAATCCCTCGGCCAGCAATATAACTTTCCCAAGCTTGTTTTTGGTAGCTCCACTTGAAAAGTTCTTTTTGTTTTAATTTTTAATCCAGGACTTGGAAAAGTACTGCTTGGTGGCATTAGTACTGCTTGATGCTCATATAGAGCCAGAGACAGTGTTTTTTCTCTCTCCAAAATTAGTTGGAAGAGGCAGATTTTTTGGTGCCAAGAAAGGGAAATGGATTCTTTGTTGTTGAGCTTCTGACTCATTGGCCACCAGAATGTGATTGGTTTGGGGGCACGATGCAGGTAAGACACAGAAGGGGGAACTTTGTTCACTTAGCTGGCGGTGGTCAGCCTCCTAAGCCTCAGTCTACACCTCAAACTACAGCAGCACATGCATGAAGGAGACGTTTGAGAATCCCATGGCGTGTCAGGCTCACTCTCCGCCAGGGTAGCAAATCAGCTTGTTAGTGGCCCTGGCTGCCCTTCAGACAACGTTGGGCTTTAGGACAACGGCATTTCTGTTCTCCCAGAGTTCTCTTCCCTGCTGAGCATTGTTCCTCCCCTCTTTCCTGCTGAAGACAGCTGCTCTTATCTGTGTTTCCCCATTTAACCCTGCCTTCTTCAGTAACTGGCCTCTGACTGCTCTGCAGCCTATTCCAGACCATAGCTGCCTCCTTTCTCCATCTTGGTTGTAACTGCGCTTGTATGTTGTCCCTCAGGCTTTGGGGGATGAATAAAAACAGGGCAGGGACCGTCCAGATACACTTCATGTATGGGGAGAAGAGGGGTGTCCAAGGAGAAAACTAGATGTTATTTCCAATCAGACCAAAGATATCAACAGGGCTTCCTCGGTACCATACCTTTGTGGCCTGGATTCTGGGCCATCACAGTCCTGACAAAACTTAAAGGCAAAATGTTCTATCTCCTCACCCAAGAAATTGACCTGATTCATAAACTCATATGGACCATTTCTGAGCATATATGTTTGAATTAGGAGTGTTACTCTAGAAAGGGCAGGATCTGCTTTCGATCATCCTAGAGTGCAGGAGATGTAATAAGGGGCTCAAGAAGTCAGATTTAGGCTGGATATCAGGAAAAAAACTTAACTGGTAGAGCAGTATGACTGGAACCAATTATCTCGGGAGGTGTTAGGAGTTCTCCAACACTTGAGGCATTCAAGAGAAAATTGGACCACCCTCTGCCAAATCTGCTTTGATTTGGAGTCCTGCACTGAGCAGGGGGTTCAAATGGATGGCCTTATAGGCCCCTCCCAACTCAATTATTTGATGATTCTATCTCTCAGCCTCTTGGTCTTCAGAAACCGTGGCAGGGAAAAGAATCACCTTTTCTCCCTGTGCTGGAATTTCCGTCTGTAAGACTTTTCTCCTGAGAGATCTCTTGGGAAATCTCACTCTCTCAGGCTTAATGCCTAAACAGGTCTCAGTCTGGATTACTTTACCATCTTGTCTGCAGTACCAGACTGGGCAAGGCGATGTCACTCAGGAGGCCCAGAATAAATCAAAGCACAATAAAGTGGTGCCCCGCATAGCGACAAACCAGAATAAATCAAAGCACAATACAGTGGTGCCCCGCATAGCAACGATAATCCGTTCCGGAAAAATCATTGCTTTGTGGATTCGTCGCTATACGAAATAAAAAAGCCCATAGGAATGCATTAAAACCCGTTTAATGTGTTCCTATGGACAAAAAACTCACCGTTATGCACAAATCCTCCATACGGCCACCATTTCATGGATTCGTCGCTATATGAAATTTAAAAAGCCCATAGGAATGCATTAAAACCATTTAATGCGTTCCTATGGGCAAAAAACTCACCATTATGCGAAAATCCTCCATACGGCTGCCATTTTCACTGCCCGGTAAGTGAGGAATCTGCGCAAAAACACAGCGGGTGGCCATTTTTTTTACCCGGCGGCCATTTTGGAATCGCCGATCAGCTGTTCTAAAAACATCGCTATGCGAAAATCGGTAACTGAAACAGCTTACCGATCATCGCAAAGCGATTTTTTACTATCTAAATCGTCACAATGCGATCGCTTTTGCGATCGCAAAACGTAATCGCTATGCAGATTCGTCGTTAAACGGGGCGCCCGTTAAGCGAGGCACCACTGTATACATCACATACTTCACAAAAGTGGCTCTATAAACTTGACCTAGACATTACATGGCCAACACAGGATTATTAAGCTTATGTGAGCCTCCTTACAGCCATGTGCATACTGTATTTGCACTAGAGAAACACAGCAATTTCTCTGCTTGCTATGTCCCTCAAGATTCCCAAGCTCTTGTGGTTTCTCCACCCAGACTCCAAAACCCAAAAGCATCATAGGTGTGAAACAGGTAGAAGGCATGGGGACTGTGGGCAGGAGGGAGAGGGAAGTTGCTTGAGTGCAATGCAGTAGGCAGAGGATGGGCTAAGTCCCCTCTTCTCTGTAGCCACTTCTCCCTTCTAAATAGCCATACATGTTAGGCTAGGTGTATCAGCCTCAAAGGTGGGAGAGTTTTGAGCCATTATAATATAATAATTCATTCAACTTCATCCTTGCAATCAATGGCATTACTAGGCACTTGGGAAATTTGGGACCCAGGTCAATAGGGGCACAAATCAGCACATCAAACTGGACATGACAAAATATGTATCTCTGTACTATACAGATAGGAATAGATCCAAGGACGGGGAAATAGAATCGAGACTATACACCCATAAGCCCAAGCCTAGCAATGCCCCTGACTGCCATGATTGTGCTTTATTTGACACTATATTTAACCATGTCCTGTTAGAAGAGAGTTCATTCTGTCACTTGACAGGGATGAAATGGGTGCGGGGGGCACTGGTTTTTGCTCCAAAATACTGCTCCAGTGCCAACTGAAGCTAGTGCAGATATTTCTCAAATGGATCACAATAATATTGGGAACCAATCCACCCCATTAAATCAGCCTTCCTCCACCTGACATCTTCCAGCTGTGCTCAACTACAACCCCCATCTTTCCCAGCCAGCATAGCCATGGGCCATGTTTGTACTTATTGTGTATCAGTTAACATGCATATCCCGTCTTTCCTTCAATGAGCTTAAGGCAGGATAGGTGGCCTTCCTCCCCACTTTACCCCCACATACACACAACTACAGTAGCTTGTGAAGTAGATCAGCCTGAGATAGAGAACATGTCCAGCCAGAGGTCACCCCATGAGTTTCACAAATGGTCCCAATCCTAGTTGTGTCCTCTTAACCCAGCCGAGATTGGTGATTCCAATTTCAGAAAGGTGGTGAAGCCATTCCAGCTGTTAGTTTAATGGAGCTCTCCAGGGTCCTGAACATATTTTGGGATTGTGTTTCAGCAACCTGGAGAGCTCCTGTACAATTCAAATTACGCTCCAGAATGGATTCACCAACCCCATGAAAGTGCATTCCTCAACCCCTAACTGATCTACTACACTGCCCAGTAGATGATGCCTCAGATGTTGGCCAGGGAAGGCATTGGCAGTCAAAGTTCAACACATCCAGAGGTCACCATGTTAGCAAACAGAGCTCGATTTTGTTTAAAAGTCATGCCAGTAACACTGACACAAACACTCAGATCTGCCATAAATGCTTTCTGCAGGAGCTCCACTGAAAAGTATCAAAAGCTAAACGAGAAACACAGAAGTGAGCTAAATGCTCACAGTGGTTTCAGTGGCACTGGTGCAGATGTCCCCCCCCATGAGATCTGCATCCTGTACATTTTATCTCTTTGTTTTGGTACCCTGGCAGTGGAGTCAGTCATAACTCAAGGAAGCAAACAGAGGGCATAAAGAGCATCAGACCTCAACAGAGATTGTCTCAATAAAAACGGGGCACTTTGATGGGGAACGGGCATGGCTATAAATCGAGCAGCCGCTCTTCGCACGTCTCCACAGGCAGCTTAGATGCACCTCCAAAGACATCCACGTTGTTGTCAACCCAAGGGATGATATTGCCAGGCATGTTGGCGGAGCAGTTAGCAATAGTCATGATGTCTTCGGGTTTCAAGACCCGGTCCCAGATATTGAACTGGCTCATCTCCCCAACAAACGCTTGAGTGGCATCAAACCTTCCTCCAACAGTATCCTGCAGGTATAAGAAGACACACGGTTCAGTTCATTGAAAATGGAAAGTTTCATCTTGCCTTGTCCTCAGAAGCAATAAAAAGGTTCAGCCAGCCTGTTTATACAACTCTGCAGGATATATGTAAGAATGGGGAAGCTGTATTACCTTGAATCAGAATATCAGTTCATCTGGGCCAATACCTGCCTGATAGCAATGGCTCACCGGGGATTTTTAGCCCTATTTGGGGATCCCTGAAATTACACCATGATCCCCTATCCAAGTTGCAACCAAGCCTAACTTCTGCTTCAATTCCACAATCTGATGAAAGCAACATGTTTAGGTGGTACGATGGAATTAATCTGGAGCAGTCAGGCATAGAATTGTACTGTGAATGTCGCAGTCTTCATTTGCTTAACTACACAAAGTGTGTTTGTTATGATTATATCCTGCCCTTAAAAACAAGGGAGAATGCCATGCTTCTTGGGTCAGGTCAAAGAACTATCCTGAAATGGCTAACTAGTTGACTAATAGCATCTACTGGCCGCAGTGTCGAACCAGCAGGATGTGAAGGCCACGGGAGCTACTTGAGGGCCAAACCATGGAAGATGGATAAGAATCTTCCCCATTCTTATCTTGACAGCAGCACTGGAAGATAAAGAGGCTTGGGAGATAGTAACTGGGCCAAAGTCATTCAGGGAACTTCACTAACAAGTAGGGATATGAACCCACGTCTCCCCAAGTCCGTTCTGACACACTAACCACCACACCAAACTACTCTGTTTACTGGCAGCTCTGAGAGGGGGTTCTAATAGACTCTGAAACTAAATTTCAAAGCTCTTCTCTCCCTCAGCCACCCCACAGCTGAAAATCTTTCATAGAGAGAGGACGAGACATCTTTTCCTCCTGCCGCATTTCCCTGCGGAGAACATTTCTTTTACAAAAATACTTTTTTGCACAAGTCAGATACAGATAGAGGTCGAACGCTACGCTTATGCCCTAGATGTGGCTGAAACCTGAATTACTAAACAAACCAGCTTGATTCAAGTTAGTTTGTAAGAGGTCAAAGTGGAATGGCTAGACCCGGTTCCAGGGGTAAAGCAAAGAAGATTTGCAAAGCGATTCAGATCGAGGACGCAGAACGGAGCTGGTACATCAGTCTCTCTGAACTTATTTTTTAAAAAAAAACATAATTGAAAAAGTGCCTGCCAGACAAGCCTCTGAATGTAACTCTGTGAAATTTGGCAAGTTTATTTCTCTCTTGGCTGCCTGGTTCAGGCGTCTGGCTATGGAGCGAGAGGTTGGAGTTCGATTTCCCACTGTGCCTCCTGTATGTAGAGCCAGCCTGTGTGTCCTTGGGCAAGCTGCATAATGCCAGGGCACCACCTGGGGAAGGGAATGGGAAACCACTACTGAGACTTCTCTACCTGGTAAACCCTGGAAAGGGTCAACATAAGTCCAAATTGACTTGGCAGCAGACGAGGAGGATGATATTCCCCTCTTTGGGCTATCTCATGCCCCTCATTGTCATAACAAAAAAAGGTGACAGCTATTTCGGTTCTCCAACGAAGGTAAGTGGGAGGCTTTACAAATCGATTCAGATCTCAAAGAGACATTTCATCAGATGGGTCACAAGTCACGTGGGACCAAAACGGGAGAACGCACACAGAGATCTAATAAATGCTAAATGGCATACTTATTAAAAAGAGGGGGAAATCCTTGTGCCCTAAAGAAGGAAGTGTAAGAAAAGGAAGGTGGTAGGAATGAAGAGTGCTTTCAGAGACAGGAAACTTTCAAAAACTACATCTCCCAGAATGCCCAAGCCCCAACCCAACATGTCCTGCCTCTGCCTATTCCTGCCCAGCTACTCACCTGCTCCTGTCCAAGGATCAGAATCCCTCCAGGTTTAATGGGGTGCCAAGGAGCTAAGTTGTCCCCAGTGCCGAGCTTCTCTCCATCCTGGAAGGCTTCCCACATCCCGTCCCTCGTTGTCCACGTGACACAGATATGGTGCCATTTCCCATCACTGATGAAGAGGGGAAGCTGGGCCACCTGCCGGAGAAAATGGCGGACGCGTCATGGAAAGGGTTCATGAATGCCAGACTGGAGGCAACGGAGAGACACAAGCTTTTCTATAAGGGTCTGAGTAGGAATTAATTTGTCCTCAAAAAACAGTCTGCATACTTACAAAATAGTCTAAATAGGACACACACACATGGTGACTGGAAGGGCCAATATACAGTATTATTCTGAAAATCGTAATATAGCAGAAAAAACAACTTTCTTTTTTTCCCTTCTTTTCTCTTTTTCTCCCCCCGTCCCCTTTTCTTTTTCTTTCTTTCTTTCTTACAACTTTCTTTTTTCTCCTTCTTTTCTCTTTTTCTCCCCTCCCGTCCCCTTTTCTTTCTTTCTTTCTTTCTTTCTTTCTTTCTTTCTTTCTTTCTTTCTTTCTTTCTTTCTTTCTTTCTTTCTTTCTTTCTTTCTTTCTTTGCCTCATCTTTTCTTTGTATTTTCAATCAAAAGTGTAACACATTTATTTTCAGTAAGTGTACCCAAAGGCACAATATTCCGGCTCATGGATCAGAAAAATGGCATACATCAGTCTACAAGGCCTGGACAGTCAAAACCTAATATTAACATACCTAAGGCATGAAACCTGGGCCTCCTCTCCAGGTGAACTCCTTTTAAGGTGTTTGTAAGGCCTGAGTCCTGATGTGGGACTTCCAGAAAGAATTATGGGGCTTGTAGTCCAAAATACCCAAAATGCATATCCCTATTTAACACTGTTCTTTAGGAAAACAGACAGATCAGGAGATTGACAGAGTTGCGCAGGAGCCCCACCCAACAAGCTGCTCTGTGCCCAAATAAAAGGCACACAGATCAGAGCTGACCCATCCTGGAGGTGCTCCAAGCCACTCTGTGTCCATGAAAGTGTCTGCGTGAAACAGCTGGAGAACCAGAGGTTGAGAACCATGACTCCAAGGACTTCTTTAAATCTCATGGGTGGTGTAGCTTTAGATACAAATCTAAGATGTGGCATGTAAGCAGCAAAAAGTGTGAGTCACATTGGTACATTCTTCAAAGGATCAGACCCCCCAACAGACTGCATTAATCCTGTGAGATAGGGGCAACTACCACTGATCATGCTTGGTGGTGGCTTCTGGGCATTGTAGTCCAAAAGAGGATTTTTTTTTCAAGCTGTGGGAAAGACTCATATATTTGCCTTCCAAATCCTTGTAGCTGGTTCTAGATTTACAAAGACTCCTTGTGGTTATCAAGTGAAAGAAGGAGTGCTTTTCGGCTATGCTCAGAGACCCTATCCTTTGGAAATGTCACACCGTTTAGAAGGCAAAACCCTGGTGATAAAAATCAGATTCTGTGCCAGACTCCATTTAAACCCTGTAGACATGAATTTTGCATGGCTGCAACTTCAGACTGATGTATATGTCTCTTAGCAACCCCTTTACAACACACCCAGGGATTCAGTGTTTACGAAACTATCACAACACAGTAGCTAACCTTGCATCTTCTCCTGCTTATTTCTCCCCAGCTCTTTGCTTCTTCCGGCTGGGAATTATTTTAGCTCCATTTCAAACAGATCGGTTACTGCCTCGATCAATAGCTAAGTCACTTAACGGCACACTTTCTGAACCGCTAAAAACAACAAAGCCCTGCTTCAGCTAAAGGAGTTATCCTTTGCAGAATGATTCAGCAACTGGAGCTTCGCAACATAATCAATTGATTGGTATAATGCTCAGCCGAAGAAGTGAAAAGAGCCCTCCTGGATCAGACTGAAAGCTTCTCAAGTTCAGCATCTGTTTCCACGAGGGAAGCCCATGAGAAAAATATGTCCACAGGCAACCCTCTCATTTGCTTTTTCCAGTCAGAGAAAGCAAGTGAGTATTAGTGGCTGATTACTTGAATCCCCTCTTGATCGTTGTCTGAACCTTATAGGATCTACCCAATGTGCTCAATCATATCCCCAAATAGTTTCAGCACCTAGAGGTAAAAGGTAAAGGTTGCCCTTGACATTTAGTCCAGTCGTGTCCGACTCTAGGCCGCGGTGCTCATCTCCGTTTCCAAGCCATAGAGCCAGCGTTTTATCTGGAGATAGTTTCCGTGGTCACGTGGCCAGCGCAACTAGACACGGAACGCCGTTACCTTCACCACCTAGAAGAGTTCCATTAATAACCTGGAGCTGGATCAGTTCCCCAAAAACATCAACAAGGGTGTCATCCGTCCCCTTAGTTTCCCACCAAATAGTATTGAGAGGCATGGTGTATATATCCATCATCATTAGTAATCATTTATCATCACACCATCCACAAATGTGTTCAGTTCCTTTTTAAAGTCATCCAAGTTGATAGTCATCGTATGACCTGCAAAAGTACATTCCACTGTTTGACTCTGCATTGTGTGAGATAATACTTTCTTGGATTTGACCCAGAGCTCAATTGCTTGTGTTTTCCTACAACTCCTAGAATTCCAGTCAACGTAGCCACTGTCTATACTAGCTGAGGCATTCTAGAAATTTGTGATCCAAAAAAAACATATACCAGGTTTTGCCTGAGAATATCTGTGCTGATGCAAGAATCCAGTGCTCTAAACCAGAGATTGACAACCTTTGGTCCCAAAACATCCTTGGACTGCAACTCCCAGAAGCCTTCACTACTGGCTGTGCTGGCCGGGGTTTCTGGAAGTTGTAATCCAAGAATATGGGGATCTAAGGTTGGGAACCACTGCTCTAAACACCAAGATGCTTGTGAAATTTATTCATATTTTTCTTGGTGTTTTTCATGTTTTACATTGTGAATCCAGTACAATGGTTGTCCAAGTTGGGGTGGTGGTGGACTACAACTTCCATTATTCCCCACCCAGCTGAAATAGTGCTTCTGGGAGATCTGGTCCAAAAAATGGAATCAGGGCATGCTCTGATTGTGAGTACCTTGTCTGACTGCTCAAGTAGATGGCTCAGTGCCTATTGATCTATTTTAGCCTTTGACGATCTCCAACCTTAGGGGAGGGGCTTTGGAGAGTGGGAGGAGCCTCTCAACAAATGTTGACTTTTTGCAGGCTGGATCGGAGGCCTCAACAGGTCAGATCGGGTCTGTTTGGCTATGGATTCCCATCTACCACTATGGGAAATTTCTTTTACCTTGACGAGCCCACATGCCATCGTGTCCTCACCTTGTCATTAATCAGCAGCTCAATGGGGTTGTTCCCCCATTCAATCAGCACCACTTCATTGGCCTGTCCAGGGACCGCATAAGAGAAAGGCGTCCCTATACCGGGGGAGGCACTAGACTTCAGCCACAAGCAGACAGTGAAGGCATACAGCTCAGGCAGTGTCTTCTTGATCTTCCCATACAAGTAATTGGTCCGAAGTGGGAGGGAGACTTTAAACTCATCCGGTGATTTAAAGGCGCTGGTACCTAGAAACCAAAACCCGAAGGAAAGAAATGATCACTGCACCGAACCAACAGGGCTGACCAGCAAATAAAGACACGTCTCTGGACAGGTTGCAAAAGTCATACGCTTGGATCCAGTGGAATTGTAGGCTGGGACCCAATGGATCTCACGGTTTCCCCAGAAATGGCAATCTACCCCTTCCTCTTCGATCGCCTCATTAATCCAGAAAATCTGATCAAGAGGACAAGAAAAACCCTCTAGAGCAAATTTGGGCACCCCAGAATTCAGCACCAAAAGTGGAAGAGGAAGGGAGCCCAGTTTCACAAGTGTCGGGTGGTGCAATGTTCTAGATCAGTGGTGTCGAACTGTGGCCCTCCAGATGTTCTTGGACTTCAACTCCCAGAAGCCTTCACCACCACCTCTGCTGGCCAGGATTTCTGGGAGTTGAAGGCCAAGAACATCTGGAGGGCCACAGTTCGACACCACTGTTCTAGATGGTAGCAATTAAAAGAAATAAAGGCATTGTGCCTTCTTTTTCAGATGATGGCGTAAGCAGTTCTTGACCAGTGCAGGGACACTTCCCTCCTCCAAAAGTTTGGGATGAACTCCCCTGCTTTGTCTGTGATCTACCCCCTAGATTATGTATATCCTAAAACACAGAGGCCAAATCATACCGTTAGACCAAAATATATTTCCTCCTGTTAAACCAGGTCTTCCTCCAGGCAATACAAATTGATCCATGCTATCTGCCTGAGATATCAGACATGGAGACAAAAGGATACTATCTCCCAGTTCAAAACAAAAGCAGTCCAATTTGCTCAGACACAGAAGAAGCTCCTGTTAGAATAAACCATTTTTTGGTTTTCAGGGTGCACTGCTTCTATATATGGAATCACCACTTCATCTAAGAAGACCTTTAGAAGTTAACTTACTCTGCTCACTTAAGTGCATCCCCCCCACAACCATTCTTGAGGTCTGGAGACAAGGAAAGTGCTTACAATTCATTCCTTGGATTCTGTCTTTAGAAAATCTGCCCTCTTATTTGTCAGCAGGTATTTATTTATGTTTGTTATTATTTTCTTACTGCTCTTCTGCCCTGAAGCTCAAGTTGCTCGCCTCTTCCTCATTTGCTCCTTTTTGCAACCCACTAAAGTGGGTCAGATAGAGATGGAGAGTGACTGGGCCAAGATCACCCGGTGAGTTTCAGAGCTAAGGAGGGACTTAAACCTAAACTGGACCCCCCAAGTTCCATTCCAACATCTAATCATCAGATCACATTTAGACTTAAGAATTAAGTGCCTTGTCTCTTGTGCCTGGGAGCAACCTCAATGGGACTTAGTTCTGAACAGATATCCATAGAAATGCGAGATTTAAAAAAAATGTTTAGGAAAAATTTTCACTAATAAAAATGGTGAGTCCAGATAGGTATGTGCTGTTTCTCCAAGCAATATTATAATCGTCACTAAAAATGTGTGTGCTTGCAAAGTCTGAAGGTTCAATCCTTATTTTTTTCTGAAAATAACATGATCCATGACTTTTAATCCTGTAAATACTTAGGTCAGTGGTTTCCAACCACAGCTACCCGAAAACCCCAGCCAGCATAGCTAGTAGTGAAGTTCACTTAAAATGTGTGTGCTTGCAAAGTCTGGAGGTACAATCATTATTTTTTCTGAAAATACCATGGTCCATGCCTTTTAATCCTGTAAATACTCTTAGGTCAGTGGTTTCCAATCACAGCTACCCGAAAACCCCGGCCAGCACAGCTAGTAGTGAAGGCTTCTGGGAATTTTAGCCCAAGAACATCTGGGGCCCCAAGGTTGGGAACCACTGCGCTAGATAAACAATCCACACTGCCTTATGCTGTTGAAAATTAAAACAGAAAAAAAATGATTATGCATATTTCTCCCGTGCTATATCTCCCTCACCATATGCACTTGAAGTCTAAATACACAAGCTCTAGCCGAGCGTGCAGTTTTGCAGTAATTAAATCTAAGGATCTGATTAAATGATTAGGATTAAGAGTGTCCCCCAGTGGCACTGCGAGTAATCCACAGCAAAGGTTGCACATTTCAGACAGGATAGGCCTGCGTCAAGGTCTGTGAAAGTTGACAACGGGGAAGCTCAGCAATTAATTAAAGAGATGGGTGGGAGGAAGACGTTTAGCTTGTCCCACAAATTTCTGAAAGACAAGGTAGGGAAAGTTTTCTGGATGATAATGTGGATCCATGTATTTCTTGAGAGCTGGATGCAAATATTAATTTCTAACAGAATGGGCCTGTTGAATGACTGCTCACGGTTATTTAAGCCCCGTTGATTCAAGAGCTTAAATCCAGTTGCTTAGCTTATCAAGGAAGGATCCGAGGAGTCAATTCCGCCATGAATTCCATTGGTTCAAATGGGCCCACTCTAGTTGCAATTTACTACGCTAAAGTAAGACACAACTAGAGTAGTTCAATTCGAATCCATGGAGCTTGCAAACGACGGACTCACGAAACTGCCAGTGGTCCAGTGGGCCTACTCAAGTGCAATTTGCTATGCAAAGCAACACGGGTTCAGGCAGTAGATTTCCTCTACTCTGAATTGAGAACTGGAGTTAGAATTATATGTATATCCATATTTATGGCCTTTATACCCATTTTTCCACAAGTAAGCTCAAGATAAAATATATGGCTGTACTCTTCATTCCAATTTATTCTCACAACAACCTTTTGAAGCAGCCCAGCACTCCATGGACTACGTTCCATGGGCCATCAGAAAACAATCAGGGTCTTACTTATTTGGGTCTCTATATGTAGACACAGCAACAGGATTATGGTCTATGAGTGTAAGACACTGGTAGAAAATGGAATCTGTAAACCAGGCCATCAGCCAATGTGAAAACCACTGTTAGGTAGTGGTTGAACTTTGGGCTAGGATTTAGGAATGCTAAATTAAAATCCTGGTTCATCCATAGAGCTCCCTAGGTGACTTTGGGCCAGTCCATATCTCTCAACGTAATCTACCCTTCAGGGTTGTTATGAAGATGAAAATGCAACAATGAAAGCTACCCAACCTGCATTTTGGGGAGAGGGAAGTCAAGCACATGCTTGAATCACGCAGAACTTTTTCCCAGAAGCCAGAACTTTTCTACATGCTTGATGTAGACTTCCTCATAATTCGGCAACACTCCTACTCCAACTGCAACAGATGCTTCGCAATTGCCCATCTTCTCTACCCTTTTAGAAAAATAGATGCCGTGGGAGTCAGACCTGGCCATCATTACAGGAAAGGAGGGAGGAACGTAATAAACTAAAAGAAAGTCTTGGCAGCTATGATTCATAGATCTCAACAGCTGCGTAAGCCGACGGGGAAGACGCATTTTGTAACTTTTCATGGAGCAATGCTATTAACTGCCTATTGAACTTTCCATCATCTGTGCATCGGAACTTACACATTTCCCCCCACCTCTCTCATGTGGGTTACTTCCGATGACTGTGCAATTTACCATCAATGCATTTGACGGTAAATGCCCTGTAATTTTTATTTCTTCTTTGATTGATAACCGGGGGACACCAAAGCAGCCTCACCAAAGAATGGACTGTGGACCCATTTGTGCATCCAAAAGCACTCTGTCAACTGAGCCTTCCCCTTCAGCAGCACATTTGTCTTGCTTTCAGCTCAAACAAAGGTTGATTCATTGATTCATGAACTGACTGATTGAAGATGATCTTTTAAAGGCTGTTCCAGAAACATTCCCCGGATTGTTTGGAAACACGGCATCCTTAACTGGTATCAGCATTTCAGAGCCCAATCCATGCCAGTACTCTAGTGGTACAGAGAGATAATGTAGACACTATTGAGAAGGAAAGGGCACTGTACATAGAAGATGTTGCTTTCTCTCCATGCCGTTGTGACTGGATATATGTTTAGAAATGATGGGCAAGCAGACAAGGAAGAAGGACAGCAGTGTTTGGGGACTGTGAGAGCTCATTCTTTGTCCCCCTTGTTGTTTTTCATCTACATTGCCTTTTCAAAGTTACATTACGTCCACATTCCCCCACTCCACCCCATTGGCCCAAGTTATATCGTACACTGCTAGGGGTGAAATCCAAAGCTTGGAGGAGTTACTTTCATGGCCTACTGCACTGAAAGGGTGATTCTAGAAACTACTGACCCAAACAGCAAATTCTCCAGAGCTCTGCTTGAATCCCTGCACAGCAGGATTGAGGAACCTTGAGCCCTTTGTATGTTTCTAACCTTACCTCTTAGACATCACAGCTCATATAGCCAGTGGGAAAAGGATTTGGGATGGGGAAGCCCAAAGCATCATGGCAGTCAAAACTTGGCCATCCAGATGTATAAGCTCAGCTTGCTAAATGAACTCGAAGTTCCCAGCCAAATCAAGTACAGTGGTGACCTGCTTGACAACGATACTGTGTTCCGTTAATATCGCTGTTAAGCGAAATTGTTGTCAAGCAAAAAAAAACCATTGGGATGCAGTAAAAACTGGTCAGTGCGTTCCAATGGGGAAAATATCTGATCGTCCAGCAAAGATCCTTCATAGGGCTGCCATTTTGGGATCCCTGTCTTGAGAACAATCGATCCGGAAAACAGAGGGGAGCCATTTTGCAAACCACCGATCAGCTATTTCTAATCGTCGTCTAGCAAAAAAACAGTTCCCGAAGCAGGGAACTATTCATCGTAAAGTGAAAAAACCCCATAGAAACATTGTTTTGCGATCGCTATAGCAATCGCAAAAAAGTCATCGTAAAGCGATTTCATTGTCAAGCAGGGTCATCATCAAGCGGGGCACCACTGTACCAGGATTCCACAAGGAACATGGAGGCACATCTAAAAGATGTTCTGGAGAACAACACACACATACAAACAAACAAACAAGACGTCCCCCCTTGGCAGTCACCATTACCTCGTTCTAACTCAGACACACGTTCGAGGAGTGCATTCAAGGCTGCTTCCGTCCTTTGCCGATGGGTGGAAGTTTCATTATGAAGCAGGGACTTCTCGTTCTCCAGTTCTGCCACTTTGGTCAAAAGCTGGCGCTCCAAATCGCCAAGCCTCCTCTGAAGCATGTCTCGGAGATCGTTGGGCAAGGCAGCAAATGAGACATTGGCCCGGAGCTGGTGCTTTAAAGTGGAGAGAAGGGACACCATAAACCACAGATTATTGCCAATCAGTCCCACCTAATTACATACTTTTTTATTATGTGTATCTGTATCTCAAATACAGATTTATATTAAAATATTGAAAAAATCTCTCCCCACTGCCCCAAGCTCTGGGTGATATATAAACACGGGATGCAACTTCTGAATGCATATACGGTATTTAGCCATAAAACTTTAAAAGAATCATCAAGCTGGAGGGAGGAAAGATGCTCACCTAAGATCCTGTAAGGATGCTGCTAGCCAAAATAGCCAGCATTAGACCCAACGGGCGAATAATCCAACCTATATTAAGCAGCTTTTAACAGATTTTAACTCTGGTAGGGTGCTCCTTACATACTTAATCTGCAACAGCCCATCCATACCTTTTAGAGAATCATCAGTACAAAGACACAAAGCAGTATTTGTAGAACAGAAGGACTTAAGAAGAACGTTTCTGAATTAGACAAGAGGCCCACCTAATGCATCATGTGTTGCTGTAACTGTTATGAGCTTACAAACAGACACGAGTTCTTTAGTCTTATCTCAATTGGGCTGCTAAGCAGGGTCAGCCCTGGGAGAACATCAGGGAAATCCTGAAAAGGATCATGCTGGGAAGCCCATAGATCCATGGTCGGAAGGTCAAAGCTAACTATATTGGGAAGTGTTGTCAGCTATGACTGGTAGCAAATGGCTAAATTGATTCAATGTGCTGTAAGTCTGATTTCTGTATCCCTGATCAGATCTTGCCAGGGGTGGCTTGTGGACTGGAACAGGGAAAGCACACACACCCTAAATGTCTGGGGTTTGGCCCCCTGTCATGAGCTTTTATTCATAGTGCTGAATTACTTGCGTATGGGAAACCCACTAGCAGGAACTGAGTAACCAGAGCAGCTGGTATAACACCTAAAAATCTCAGATGTGCTTTATAGCATGAAAATTTTAACAGTAAAAACCTTTCTTTCTTTCTTTCTTCAGTTATTTATCATGGGAAACCCACTAGCAGGAAGTGAGTAACCAGAGCAGCTGGCATAACACCTAAAAATCTCAGATGTGCCTTATAGCATGAAAATTTCAACAGTAAAAACCTTTCTTTCTTTTTTCAGTTATTTATTTATTTATCTATCCATTTGTCTATCTATCCATCTATCCGTCCGTCCGTCCGTCTATCCATCCATCATCTATCCATCTGTCTATCCATCTGTCTATCCATCTATCCATCCGTCCGTCCGTCCGTCCGTCCGTCCGTCCGTCCGTCCGTCCGTCCGTCCGTCCGTCCGTCCGTCCGTCCGTCCGTCCGTCCGTCCGTCCGTCCGTCCGTCCGTCCGTCCGTCCGTCCGTCCGTCCGTCCGTCCGTCCGTCCGTCCGTCCGTCCGTCCGTCCGTCCGTCCGTCCGTCCGTCCGTCCGTCCGTCCGTCCGTCCGTCCGTCCGTCCGTCCGTCCGTCCGTCCGTCCGTCCGTCCGTCCGTCCGTCCGTCCGTCCGTCCGTCCGTCCGTCCGTCCGTCCGTCCGTCCGTCCGTCCGTCCGTCCGTCCGTCCGTCCGTCCGTCCGTCCGTCCGTCCGTCCGTCCGTCCGTCCGTCCGTCCGTCCGTCCGTCCGTCCGTCCGTCCGTCCGTCCGTCCGTCCGTCCGTCCGTCCGTCCGTCCGTCCGTCCGTCCGTCCGTCCGTCCGTCCGTCCGTCCGTCCGTCCGTCCGTCCGTCCGTCCGTCCGTCCGTCCGTCCGTCTATCTATCTATCTATCGTGGGTGGTTTACAGCATAGCAATATAAATAAAACCACAAGCAGACCACAATAAAATAGAAAAAGCTGACCAATCCCAGTCAAACTGAATTGGCTTGAATATTTCCAAAGGTTTTGTTTCCAGGCAAAAACTTTAATAAAACAGCAAAACATCAAGCTGTAACACTCTCTACGTGGGACTTCCCTTGAGGTCGATCTGGAGACCACAGCGGGTCCAGAATGTGGCTGCCAGGCCGGTGGTGGGTGTGAACAAGTTTGGATCACATCTCGCCAGTCCTGCCTCACCTGCGCTGGTTACTTGTGACATCCTGGGTCAAGTCCAAGGTTGTGATGCTCACTTATAAGAAGACCCTCCTTGGTTTGGGACCACGTTACTTGTCTGAGTACCTTTTCCCAAGGTCATCTGCCTGCACCACCAGGGTTACAGTAGTCAACCCTGGAGACCACCAACACATGGACCAACATCCTGAGGGCTCCTCCATCCAGATAGGGAAGGAGTTGGACAATAAGCCTACTCTGATTAAAGGCTGCTCTGGACATGGCTGCAACCTGGGAATATTCAGACTCATGCTACCTCTTCAGGTAGAACTGCGAATACTTCTTGTTTTTAACCCTGGACAGCCATTGACAAATCAGCATGGACAAAACTAGTCTAGAGGGACAAAGGATGTGACTCAGTATCAGACATCTTCCCACATGATTGGCATGTCAATCAGTGTAGGTAGTAAAACAAGGATTTTTCTTCAAGCTTACTTTGCCACCGCCCCTATTAGAGGGCTGGTAGGCACTATTTTAGAGAGGCAGTATGATGTAGTGGCTTGAGCAATGGCTCCCACCCTTGAATCCCCTGATGTTCTTGGACTAAAACTCCCACAAGCCTTCACCAATAGCTCTGCTGGTTTCTGGGAGTTCTAGTCCAAGAACATCTGGGGACCCAAAGTTGGGAACCACTGATCTAGTGGATAGAGTGATGGGCTAAGACTCAGGAGACATGGTTCAAATCCCTGTTCAGACAAGGAAATCCACAAAGGGTGACAATGGTAAAAGTACTCCTTAAATATCTCACTTTCCTTGAAGGCCCTATGAGGGTTGCTACAAGTCAGATGCAATTTGCCAGCTTATAAAGGTAAAGGTAAAGGTTCCCCTTGACAATTTTTGTCCAGTCGTGTTTGACTCTAGGGGGCGGTGCTCATCCCCGTTTCCAAGCCATAGAGCCAGCGTTTTGTCTGAAGACAATCTTCCGTGGTCACATGGCCAGTGCGACTTAGACACGGAACGCTGTTACCTTCCCACCGAGGTGGTCCCTATTTATCTACTCGCATTTGCACGCTTTCGAACCGCTAGGTTGGCGGGAGCTGGGACAAGCGACAGGAGCTCACTCCGTCACGTGGGTTCGATCTTACAACTGCTTTGTCTTCTGACCCTGCAGCACAGGCTTCTGCGGTTTAGCCCACAGCGCCACCACGTCCCTTATAACTTATAACTGCAGATAAATTGCCATCTAACTTTACAGGTCATGTTGAGTGGTCTTTTGACCTCATGGAATATTTCCTATGTACTTTCATAGCCTTATGGATGAAGCTTCAGCTCTTTGACTCCAGGTCCTACCTGCCCCAGCCAACATAGCTAATAGTATGGGATTGTAATGATGGCCAATATTGCCCCATCCATTCTACAGAAAAAAACCACATGCACATGTTCAGACATTGCAGAGCTGGAAGGGACGCTATGGATCACGGAGTTCAGCCCCTGTTAAGGAAGCACAATAGAGACCTGAACTCGCAACCTCTAGCCACAGACCTAAACCACTGAGTTATCCAGCAGCCTACATAGTCTAACAAAAACCAGCATGTCCTCATCAAAGTACTAGATTCCCGTAGATCAGTTTTGGGAAAACACTTGAAGCTTCCTTAGTAGATCTGTTTAGCCCAGTATTTGTAATATTTGACTGGTAGGAGCCCTACGGGGTCAGAGGCAAGATTCCTTTCTACCACTTGAAATTCTGGCAATTAAACAAGACATCTTCTGTACACCAGGCATGTCCTCACTGGGCTACAGCCCCACTGCAACACAACGTGTAGCATTTGTGATGGTCTCCCATCCAACTGTTAACCAATTCTGGGCCTGCTTAGGTTCTAAAATGAGATAATATAGTAGGACTATGGTATCCATAGGGGAATCAGTTCCAAGACGCGCACCCAATGGATGCTGAAAAACACAAAAGGATCAAATGCTAAACATTGCATGTTCCCTCGCTCCCTCTAATGGCCAGTTCTGGCAACTACACCCTGGAAATATGTATCAATATGGATTTCTGGGTGGTTTTATTTAGTATTTTCAGGCAGTGGATAAGTGAATCAGTGGATAGTGATCCCATGGATGGGGGGGTTCTACTGTTCTGGATAAAATGATGGCACACAGAACACATGGCGTGGGGTGGGTGGGAGAGAGATCTGAATCTTATTTCTTTTCTACACCGAACCACTGACTTTACTTTCTTTTACAGGGCTCAGTGCCTCACCCAGCCAACCACCACCCAGCTTCTATTCTGTTGGATCAGAACTTTTAAAAGGTGCAGGGAAACAAGGATAATGACTGAAACCAAGATATATACAAATGGGGGAAGCCTCCCTAACCCCCATGAATCAAAATGGTTACCCAGTTCTAAACATTGATTAGGAAGGCATGCACTACTGTTTATGCACAGAATGCATAACAGTACGATTTATTCATGACAGAAGTGGAAGGAAGGGTGCTTTCACAGCAAATGGAACCACCAGAAACATAGAGGGTGGGGGTTTGGAGGAGATCAAAGTGCATTTTCTATAGAGAAGGGGCTGTTAGACATCTGAAAGAGAAATAACATATTTCACATGAACATTCCCTTCCTAAATATATATTCTCTTATATAAAACCTATCAATCTAATAAAAGAGTAGTTCTTGACCTTGGGCAATCCAGGTGTTCTTGGACTGCAACTCCCAGAAATCCTGGTCACCACCAGCGGGTGGTGAAGGCTTCTGGGAATTGCAGTCCAAGAACATCTGGTTTACCCAAGGTTAGAATGCACTGATCTAGGACAATGGTTCCCAACCTTGACTCCCCAGATGTTTTTAGATTAAAACTCCCAGGAATCTTTACCATTAGCTTTGCTGGCCAGGATTTTTGGGCGTCTTAATCCAAGAACACTTGGGTTACCCAAGGTTATCATGGTGATAAGAGTTAGATTCTGTATAGTTATTTAA